GGAGCCATAATGAAACACACAAGGGTCTTTCAATTGAGTTCTTTTGATGTCTGCTGCCACCTATAGCATATTAGTAACATTTTTAATGAATCCAAAACAACCAAGTTCAAATGAACTGTTTTCACCATACAAAACTAGAGGAGGAGATTGAGGGCTGAAAAGCAGTTGATCCAATTTTTTGATAAATTGGCTTTTATTTTTTAAATCCACATTAGCGCCATGCTAGGATTATGTCCTGTTTAAGACAAAAGTACCATGCACATATTCTACAAGGGAATAAAGAATTAAGTCAGGACTGGTGCGGCAGAGTTCGACTTTTCATGAAAAGTTATGAGAAATATGTACAAACATTAACCCATCATATCCTGAGGTGTTAACTTCCCAAACACTCAGTGGCTTTGCTGAGGTCTAATTACTTCATGGGAGTTATCCTGTATCTGATCATAGTCAACTGGGGTTATCCTGAGCCACACTTAAGAATGTGATGTCAGGGAACTGCCATCAGGGAACTGCTCAGAGACGAGAGATGAAGGGGCAGTTGTGTTACAGGGAGCCTCGGAAAATCTTGTGAAGCAGTTCCTCTTCCGGCAAGGAGGAAAGCCCCACCTCCAGTGGAAAAGAGGTGCAAGGACCAGAGGATGCTAGTAAGAGCCTTAACACCGCGCATGAGCAAGCCAGAGAGGAGGGAGGCAGGCCCTTGCCGTCAACCATCATGCGCAGTAGTTTGAGGCACAGGGAGAGGCGGAAAAGGCTGCTCCCCCTTTATGTTGGGGGAGGTACAAAAACAGACCACTCCCAGATTCTGCTGGCGATTGAGCCAGACATGAACTTATGACGCTCTTCACTGTAAATAGTTTGCACCAAAATAAAGCCTGTAAAAAACAGGTCGGAGTCCTGCCTAGTTACTCTCGAGCAACCGCAACAGCATCTGACAGTAGCTGTTTGCTTATCAGGTCTCAGGTCTCTGAACAGAAGGCAGACTTCATTAGCAAGACTGCAATAAACTGCCAATATTGCAGAACACAAGATAGCACTTAATGCAAAATTACATTAAAATAGATTTTAAAAGTATGGACCAGGAATCAAGATTGTGGTGATGATGATAATTAAAATGGGAGTTTAACTATGTGCTTTCCTTTATCTGTCTTAAGTCTTACAACATTCAGCTTTATCCATGAGTTTCAGTATTATGAGAGAGGGAGAATAACTTTCCTCCGTCAACTCTCTCCATGCCATGCATGACATTATAAATTTCTATCATGTCACCTCTTAGTTGCCTTTTGTATAAGCTAAAAAAATACCAGGTTCGGTAGGAATCTTCCTCCACCTATCATTTCTATGAACCCAAAGTCTCTCCTAGAAGTGTATGCATTGACTGGAGGAGAAACAGGAAATATCTCAACCTAGATGGAAAATCCATCCCTGAACATTCACCTGCTATTTTCTTTCATGTTCAGTAGTGAAATTCATGCAGACGCAGGAACTTACACCATTGCTTACATTTCATTCATTGATTGCAACACAGAGAGAGAGATTTGTTCCGCAAAACTTAATAGGGTGGACCTGCACTGCCTGCACTCGGATGGATCTAATTAGCAATAATAATAAAAAATACACTCCTTCTCCCCACCCCCACAGTACCTGCCAAAAGGTACAGTTCTGGTTTGAATTAATAGCTTAGCAGGCAGCGAAAGCCGCTAATCTTCTTGCCCTACATCAGCTATCTTGTTTCTTTGACCTTTTTGCTTTCTTCTGTTCTAGCCAGAGCAGCATGCAGATTGGGCTCAAGAGGTCACAATGCTACAGATAACCTTTGCATTCTAGCCAGGACTTCCCACCATAACTAATTTGCTTTAACAAATATTTTTCAGGAAATCAATATTCGGAACACTGAGCAGATCCAGTTGTTGATGCCGTTCTCATCCCTTGCCAGTCAGACGAGTCACAAAAATCAGCTAGCCTGAATGAAAGCACTGAAATAAAAATTACTCAGTGAAAACCACCTAATTCTTTGACAATGAAGTATTGGTTGGAGAAAGGAGGGAAATTCCATTGTCAACGTGGTCCATAGTGTTCTGCACCGTATATTAAAATGGTTACCTGCACACTTTCCATTTTGTACCTGCGAAAATCAATTATTTCCCAGTGTTCTTTTTATTTTAATATACACAGTTTCATAAAACAATTTTTTACAGGCCTACCTATGTACTTAAACAAGATTATACTGAACACTTTTAAAGGCTCTGATCTTGAAGCTGGAACAAAACAGTGGACCATAGGTGCATCTCACTGTCAGATATTTATTCACACAAATTGTAAGTTCTCCACTGAAGTTCTATGTTTCATGCAAAGCTGCAAGGAAGGGCAATAATAACTAAGGTCTGTCTGTGCCCTGCTTTCTCACATTAACATTCTTGGTAGAGATCTGCTACAGGGAGATTAATGAGTGAGGGAGTCATGTCCTTCCACATTTTGCTAGACCCCAGTCCACATCAGTCCACATCAGCCCCAGTACATGCAGCCGATGCTCAGGGGTGATAGTAACAGTAGTACACTAACAGCTAAAGGGATATAGATTCCCCATCCTTGATCGGCTGCTATGCAGCTCCATTTCCCACGCTCAAAATAGCATGATAAGGACCAGGGGTGCCAACTTGAATGAAATATGGGGGAAGGGGACAAGGAAGCTCCGCCCTGCAGAATCGATCACATGATGTGATATACACATGCACACCATTTGAATGGCAATGCCCATCAACTTTGGTGGGCCCAGGGGCCCTCAAATATGTTATGGCAAAGGGACCTCAGCCCCTAGCAGTTGGTTGATATGATAAGGACTATGGTTAACTAGTAAAGTCAACACTGGGCTTCTTTTATGGGCCAGAATTGTTCTGGCTTCTGGTAGCAGCAATGCTGCTGGGAAGGGGAGATTCTTCAACTAGCTCTCCGCCCACACAGCCTGGGCCTATTCATGCTACCCAAATGGTGTAAGGTAAAGGTAAAGGACCCCTGGATGGTTAAGTCCTGTCAAAGGCGACTATGGGGTTGCGGCGCTCATATCGCTTTAGGCCAAGGGAGCCGGCGTTTGTCCACAGACAGCTTTTCAGGTCATGTGACCAGCATGACTAAACCACTTCTGGCACAACGAGACATCATGAGGTAAGCCAGAGTGCATGGAAACGGAGTACAGTGGTTAAGAACTTAATTTGTTCTGGAGGTCCATTCTTAATCTGAAACTGTTCTTAACCTGAAACTGTTCTTAACCTGAGGTACCACTTTAGCTAATGGGGCCTCCCACTGCTGCTGCACTGCCGCCGCACGATTTCTATTCTCATCCTGAAGCAAAGTTCTTAACCCGAGGTACTATTTCTGGGTTAGCGGAGTCTGTAATCTGAAGCGTCTGTAACCCGAGGTACCACTGGATACCATCCCGCTGCAGCAGTACCTATTTATCTACTTGCACTGGCGTGCTTTCGAACAGCTAGGTTGGCAGGAGCTGGGACAGAGCAATGGTAGCTCACCCCATCACAGGGATTTGAATCTTCTGATCAGCAAGCCCAAGAGGCTCAGTGGTTTAGACCACAGCGCCACCTGCTCCCCAAGTCAAATGGTGTGGCAATGGTTATATTATGAGAAAGGGTCTTGTGGCAGGACACGTAATGATATTTACAGAGATCGTTCAGCACACAATTCAAATATGGAACTTGCTGCCACAGGAGGAAGTAAAGGCTACAAACTTGGATGGCTTTAAAAGAGGATTTGACAAATTTGTGAAGGGCAAGGCTATCAGTAGACCCTCGGTTGAAAGCAGTAGTTTTTCTGAATGCCAGTTGCTGGAAACCACAGGATGGAAGAGTACTCTTGTGCTGGGGTCCTGCTTGCTGGTTTCCCGCAGGCATCTGGATGGCCACTGTGAGAACAGTGAGTTAGATGGGCCATTGGCTTGATCCAGCAGGTGGTTCTTATGTTTTTAGATGGTGCAAAAAAGGAGTTGGTCCAGGCATAGCTTGGAATTCATTCATAAACGATTCCAATCATGAGCCGAGATGACCCTGTTTACACTTCCTACTCCTCTTCATTGGCACTGGCAGCTTTCTAATCTGAAAGAGTTAAGACCAAAAGGGAAATCAGCTGTAATGCATCAAAAAATGTCAAAACACTCAAAGCCTTGTCCAATGTATCTAAATGCAGAAGGAGATTGCTTGTGCCCGGCCAATGAATTAAAAGATTAGTGTCAGGGAATAGGATAAACTTGGGATTGCACCAGGAAATATTACGTTACTTTGTTTATTCCAGAGAGTTTGTCTCCAGCGAGTGGCTCATGTGTTATTATCAGGGAAGATGCACAATGTGTATCTTGACCAGCTACAATGGGGGTAGGGGTGGGGGGCAAGGGCTTCACTGAAAGCGAGATTTTTGTAATTGTTCACATAAAGTAAAACTGGATCTAACCAAAGGTCCAGCTGCTCAATATTCTGTTTGCCACCTCAGCCAACTATGAAAAATACACGAGTTGAAGGCAATGGATTCCCACCACCTCAGGAACCTCAGGCCTCAAATGTGTCTGGTGCTCAGGTTTATCCTCCCTGCAACTCACACCCCTCATGTTCCTGTTCTGCACCTTCCTCAAGTGTGTTTGCCTGCCTGGAATGTGTCAATGAGAAGTGATAATGCCTCTTGCTTGCCATTGTGTGCTGAATGATCTGCCTCCTGTTTTTTGTCCTATTGAAGCACAAATGTAAGTAATGAAGAGAAGAAGTGTTGCCCTACCATTAGGCAAAATGAGAATGCAGCCTCAGGCGGCAGATGCTGAGGCAACATTGGCAGCCACCTGTTCCTCCAGCCATTTCCATCTCTTGGTGAACAGAACTGTATATGCTACATGGCCTGACCTGGCTTCCCTTAGCTAGCCCATTGCCAGTGTTCAAGGGAGATTCCACTGCCAGTCCAGTCAGCTTCTGGATGTGGGTTGAGGAAGGTGCAACATCTTCTGATGGGAAGGACCACAGCTCAGTGGTAGAGCAACTGCTTTGCATGCAGAAAGTCCCAGTTTCAATCCCTTGCATCTCCTCATAAGACTGGGAATGTCCCCATCTGAAATCTGGGAGAGCCTCCAGGGTAGACAGTGCTTTTTTTCTCAGGGTACTCAAGAGTACACAGTATCAGCGCTGGTTTTTTTTTTCCTAAAGGAAAAGAATTGAGTGTAGACAATACTGAACTAGATGGGCTGATGGTTTAAAATATCTTCCTGTGCTCCTGTGTCCTTCGCCTCAGGCAGAAACATGTGCTGGGCCAACCCTGAGGACAAGCTAGGTGGGCCTCAGTCAACACAGGTGACATCAAACATAGCCCTAACTCAGTTGACCAAGCCTTTCATTCCGTTTCATGGGAATGGGAATCATAATCAAAAGTAAGCCATCTGTGGGGAAGCTTTTGTGATCGAGTGACAGGAGATGCTAATTGGGCAATCGCCTGTCTTTGTTGGCCTCAAATTGGCTGCTTTGCAATCACTGCCTTCTGCAAACGTCTTTTGTGCTCATCAACAGACTTAAACGCAAAAGTTAATATAGACAAAGTGTTGATTTCAGGAAATCTCCAATCACAGCAGGGTTCAGTTGAAAGTATGGCAGGGCAAAGGTAGATAAATAACCTTTGTGTAATTCTATTTTCAGAATTCAGTATCTACTGCGGAATTATCTTTAACAACCGACAGGGTGGCGTCATGGCAAGTGTCAAGTTTCGGACCTTTTCATAGCTTAAATTCCTACATTTAGTCAAAGGTTATACGACTCCTCTCGGGCAGCACAGTAGGTGGCCTAAAAGAGTGATATGAAGCTTAGGGAAATGATCTAACTGCCAAGTATCCTTTCTCTGAATGCCTTTGTGTGAATCCCATCAACAGTCTTATCCACACAACGGAGGTAAATCAAAACACTTGAACCGAAGCCAAATTAGACCCACTGAAGTCAACGAATGTCTTGGAATTAAATTCTGTTGGCTTCAGCTGATGTTATTGTCAAATAACTGTGCATAAGATTGCATCTTAAGCCAGGTTTAATGGAGATGCAAGCTGGGTGAAAATTTGCTTCAAACCAAGACGAAAAATAGGAATAATCAGTCTCTCCTGTTCAGCAACTCCCCCCCCCTTCCTCAAACTTATTTTTAAGAATTAAATAGCTTGATTGTGTGCAGGATTGCAGCCTAAGTAAAAGAAACAAAACCTAGAGAAACCAGTGAAATATATTTCTCTTTTGACCACTTTGGAAAGAGCCTTTTTTGCAATCATATACTCCTTTGCCCATGAGTAAGCTCTGGTGAATGAAATTGGACTTGCTCAACATAGTATTTTGACTTTAAGGGGGGGAGGAGTATAGTAGTCACCTGCTTTGCCTAACCCCTGATGTCTCGGGTAGTTAAGGCACATTTTAATATTAATTCTTCAAATCAACTCTCCCCACCTAGAACACTAAGTTTTAATATATACGTGCCTAAGGTAAGGCTAATTGCCACCCATTATTCATGAAACAGATTGAATGTAGCATCCTTTCCTTACAATCTGTTTTTGATTTGAGGGGAAAACAACCAATCCTTATACTCTAATAATCACTACTGTACATTGTCTTGCAGAATAGTCAGCACTAATCAGAAAGGAGAAGGGGCAAAATAGTTTTGCCATTTTTGTGTTTAGCTTTTCTGTGCTTTTCGGCCCACGAAAAGGCATCTACTCTGATTTTCTGTGCCTTTATTAGGAGATATTTCCTAGCTAGAAATAACATTCTAATCATTTTTTCCTTAGTATTTTCATCCTTCATCTTGAGTTTGTAGGTCCAAAGCGTATTCCTTTTTAATGAAAACACATACCTAGAGAAAGGCTTGGCTTCTGTTTTACCTGGATTAGCATCTTCTCAGGACAATTTATCAGGAACAAAACATTTAGAAGAGGAAAGAATTAATACTATGCATAGTATGCATATACATGGATCTTCTAAACCACGGGAGCAAACCTCCAGATGTTGGACTTCAACTCTCAGCAGTCTCAACCTGCAAGGTCAATGGGCAGGAAAAGGGGACTCGGAGTACAAAAACATCTGGCAAACTATTGATTGGCTATCCTAGTTCTATGCCAGCCTTTCCCAACCTTGGGTCCAGGTGTTGTTGGACTGCAATTCTCATCATCCCTGGCCATTGGGCTGTGTTGGCTGGGACTGATACGAGTTATAATTCAAGAACATCTGGGAACCCAAGGTTGGAAAATGCTGTTCATTTTAAACGGGTTTGAGTAAACATTCATATAACACAACCTGAAATAAATAAATTATATCCATATATCTATATGGATATCTATTTATCTACCTATCTCTACATTTCTATGAGAAAGAGAACATTGTTTTAATAACAGTAAGCTTATTCCATGAGTACTGAGATCCTGGACCACGTCAGTACCTGAACAGGTGACTCACCAGGAACCCTGTGAACATTGTCCTGGGTTTCACAGAGGATGCAAATTAATGGCGCAAAATATGCATAAACTAAATAATGTTTTAAATGCTATATGTATTTCTAAGGCAGTATGTCATGCACCATTGAGGGTGAGGCTGTCATTTGAGCAAAGTATCTGAAGTTCTGGTGGATACATGGAGTTCCTTTTATGGTGTGAAATAGACCTGAAGACAAAATTTGAAAGGAATGACACTCAAAGGCAGGTTGGGTGCCCTCTAACCTGAGGGGCTGTAGATGTGCATTTGCCCTGAATTTGGACAAAAAACAAGGAACAGTAACAATCCAAAAGGTGAAAAACACCAGGTAGCGCAACAGGATAAGTATTTAAGTAAGATTCAGATTTGGAACAGTCAAATGTTTACAGCAGAAGAAGACCTAATGGAGGCTTCTGAAGAATAATAATCTTTAAAAGTCTGCTTCACTTGATTCCTGCCAAATAACAATTAGATCTGGAAGTCCGTGAGAATTCCTTGAAGACCAAAAGTGATTTTCTCTGGTGTTTTTCACCTTTGGGGGGTTTTAGGTCTGTATTTCGACAACACATAAAATGATTACTGTATGAATTCCATGATAATATAATCCAGCATGAATATAAATCCTTCGGGCATCCCAGGAGTTAGTATCAGTTTTTGGGAAAGACTTTACACAGCCACTTTCCTCCCCCGCTCCCCCCCACACACACTCCTATCAGACAATTGAACCATTTAAAAATAGCCAAAGCCAAGAGTTTTCTCTGGAGCTTTTCCTCCAACAGCGAATGTCGTACCGCAGCCCAAGCTAATTCCCGTAACGAAGTAACACATCCAGCATTGCACTTTCTTCAAATGGGCCTGATCTCAACCTAATCCAAAAATGACATCTGTAGTTCTGCACTAAGTTGTGTTAGCTGGCTGATTAGATCTAATGTTTGACTTTAAGACCATTCCGCCTCTCTTTGTTCCAAGAACTTCCTAAGCTGTGAATTTACTCTACTTATTGTCCCGTGTTTCAAACTGGACTGGGAGCAATGAAATGTGTCAATAATTCTGTTACCTTAGATTCTCTACCTTCCAAAAAAACACCATGCACCATGGTTTCAATTATATCTGGGCCAACATCTGTTTCTGACAATATATATATATAAACCATGTTCAGCCCACTGAAAACTATTCTATCAAGGAGGTGGCAGCCAGAAATGGCCACATTTTCAAACATATCTGAGCCAATCAGAAGAATAGGGTAGGTCCTAATAATTATATATCAGATGGGAAACTCAAAGAGGTGAGCCATCAGCATACGGCAAAAGTTGCCTAATGAGGGTGTAAGAAGTAGCTCTGTGGGGAGTTCCAAAATGTAGAGGCTGCTATGGAAAGCTGCCCTCTCCTGGGCTTTTCCCAAGATTCCCCACACTACTAAGAGGGCCTGCCTCTGCTTATCTTAACAGCTTGTAGCGAAGAAGGCTGCCTTTCAGATGTTTGTGGGATAACTCACTTAGTGGTTTAACTATGAACATGAGCACCCTAAATTGGGCCACTGGTCACAGTGTTGGTCAGAATGTTGGGCGAGGACTTGGATGACCAGGGTTTAAATCTCCACTCAGCCGTGAAGCTAACTGGGTGATGTTGGGCCAGTCTGTGATGGCCTGAGACTCGGGCTCAGACTCAGAACCAGAGGAGTCTCGGTTTGCACTGGATCCTTTGCCTCAGGCATAATCTGAAGAGTTCCAGTCTGCACAGGTTCCCCTGCAACAAACACCAGCTGGGCTGAGTCAGGGGCCTGAGCCTGCCCTGGCTCCAGATGTGAGGATTACCTCATTGCCTTCAGCTTGGCCATCACTTACAGCTGTTCCACTACCGGTTGGGTCAGGGGAGGCTGAGGCAGCCCCTGGGTCTAGTAACCCACCGATGTCTCTCGAGCTGCAGAGACTAAGGTCTGAGAGAAGGAGAGACCTGAGTACTCGCAGGAAGAGTACTTGCCTTCGGGCAAAACAGGGAGGTGAGTCACCGGGGGATCAGGACCAGCCGCTGCTGTATGCTAGATCCTGCCTGAGATCCTGTACCTGTCCTTGCCTGGTTTCCTGCCTCGTACCCTGCCTTGGCTCTGTAGGACTGACTCCTAGAGGAACCTCTGGATTCTGGTCCGGTCTTGGACTGTGTTTCACGGGTTACCCCCAGGCCCAGCACACAGTCAGTCACTCCCTGCCTAACCAACCTTATGGGGCTGTTGTGGGGTTTAAATGAGGAGGAGAACAACTATGTAGGTTAAAAGGGGCACCATGGAGAAGTAGGTGAGATATAAATGCAACAAAAGGATAAATAAAAAGAAACAAATTGGAAACCAGGGCAGCAGGTGTTATAGGAGTTCTCAGAAATATTTCTTTCTTTTTACTGCCTTCTGGAGCTACTCGGTCAGCTGGAGCTTCTACCATGGTGCTGTGGCTTTAATGAACTTCTGCCGCCTTTCACAACTTTTTTTCCTGAGCTAAAAGGCCCCAAATGTTGTAACCTTCCCTCACAGGATGATTTTGGTTGCTGTTTTCTGCACTTTTTTCAGCTCTACATAGACTGGAGGCAGGGGATTCAATCTAGTTCATAAATCTAACCAATTTGCACTTTCCAAAACAATACACAAACTGTGACATAACCATCCTTTGACGCGTCTCCAAATTTTGCAGTGCAGCATCCCAGCCATGTAATGTGTACAGAATGCATATACTGGGGTCAAGTGTGCATAAAAGGCATAAGTGAAAATAACCTGCATTATATTAGGGGAAATGGCTTTGGGGGGAAAATGTGTGTATTAGGCAAAATGGCATAAGAAAAGTGTATTTGGATAATATTAACAAAAATTTGGACCCAAATGCTGGTGGATTTTCATGAAGAGTTTTTTGCAAACTGATGTGGAAATGTGGAAAACTGAAGAATGGAAAACTGAAAAACTGAAGTGACAGATTCACCCATTCCTATCCCTACAATATCCTTTGATTGGTGTGATTCTGGGGTGTGATTGTCAGAACTGCATGCAGTTTTCCAATTGTGTTTTCACCATAGATTTGTATAATTGTTTTGTGATATTGACAGTTTTAGTTCATTTCCTAATCATCCCCAAGGTGGGATTTTCCTTGATTTGTAGCACCTGCACACTGGATCGACATTTTCATCAAACTATCCACCACAACCTCAGGATCCCTTTTTTCTGGTGGGTCACAGTCATTATCTCTTTGTATTTTCATAACTAATATAAATATATATGGAATTATGGTCTTTTTAGAGCACTGTAGTCATCTTCTGATGCCTTGTAGCTGTTCACAGCCAAGCCGAGACATTCGGCTTCGCAAAAGTATCAGCATTTGAAATCACTCAAATGCTGACAAAACCTTCTCTCAGAAGAGGTTAAATGGATTAATGTTTAATTTCTAAGGACGTCTCCAGGCTAGTTTTTCATTAGAGGGTTATTCTAACTATGTTCCAGTCCCACAGGGAGCTCATCTGAACCAAACAAACCTGTGAAAATATCTGTTAAAGCTTCTCTCATTTCCACCCAAACTTCCTTTATCAGTCTTGGATGGATGTTGTTTGCCTTGGGCTCCTGACAACTATAATATCCCTGGCTCTGTAGCAATGGCAGCCAAAGTTGTTGGCAAAGCTAGCACAGTGTCTAATTCTTTGTTTGATACCTAGAGAAACTCCATCTCAGTTGGGGTGGTTTTATTGCCAATTTCTCCTGGCACTTCACTTTTGGAATGCCATTGCAAAATAATACTCCTGCATTTCTTGGGCTTTGTTTTTAATTTCTTTCTGCTGCAGACAACAGATGCTTTCTGTCAGTGAATCGTTTTGTGGTTGTGTGTGTTTGTTTTTTTTTAAAAAATCAGTTTGTCTTGGAAAGGTCCCCCCCTCCCACAGACTGTCATTCAGATCCACTGAATAAAGTCCACAAGCTGTAGTTTGTACCACTTGTGCATTTACCTATCGGAATAGCATCTTCTTGGCAAGAAGGTTCTGGGTTCCTTGCACTGATAGAACGAGCCACATAATGCTAATTTGGATACGACACGTGCCCCACTTCCCTTTCTTCCATATTGTCTACATATTCTTTGCAGACATCTGACAAGAAAAGTGTACACATGTTTAGCTATGTGTGTGAAGGTCAATTTGAAATCCTGATCATGCGGAATTGCTAATCACATGAAAGCCTATGACTGAACACACATAGGTTCTTCTTTACCAATTTACAAACTGAACACACAGTCGGTATATCTTATTAAATAAATAAGCCAACATTTTCTTCAGTGGAGTATAAAGGTTGGTTGATGAATGAACAGAATCATTTCCTTGAATAAATTCAGCATTGTGGGATTTGCTAAAATGTCTGCTTCAAAGGTTGGTGGCAAAGGAATTGAATGGGTGTGAGCTGGTAGGTTTTTTTATAAATTAATGAGGATGTTATGAAGCAATGATTAATGAATGGAACCACTGAAATGATGTCCTGAATTGAAATGTATTTGACCTTGCTATAGGATTAATAGATAGATTTATGGAGCTAACTGCAGTTAATTGACCAGGTAGGCATTCTCTCTGGGAGTGGAATGGGAGAGAAGGACCATCTCATAAGTAGCTTCAAAGGCCCATCACAGAGGATGACGGATGGCTGATGGCAGAAAACCTACAAACACAATAAGTTGCCTTACACTAAGTCAGATCATTAGTCCATCTAGCTCAATATTGTCTACACTGACTGGCAGAGACTCTCTAGGGCAGGCATGGCCAAACGTGGCCCTCCAGATGTTTTGGGACTACAACTCCCATCATCCCTAGCTAACAGGACCAGTGGTCAGGGATGATGGGAGTTGTAGTCCCAAAACATCTGGAGGGCCAAGTTTGGCCATGCCTGCCTAGGGTTTTAGGTAAGGTACTCACCTAGCCAACCTGGAGAAGCCAGGTATTGAACCTGGAACCTTCTGCATGCAAAGCAGCTATTCTACCACGACCTTTCAAACACCTGAAGAAGACACCAGAGAAGGGGTCGGTGTCAAGGCTGAGGTATTGAGGGGAACTTAACAGAGACTCTGGTAAAGTGTACGCTTTCATCCTTACTAGTTCTATTTGAATCATCTTAGGCTGTGGATTGAGAACTTTGGCAGTACCTTAATCAAGCAATAATGCAGTAAAAAGATAAAGGACACATTAAAATATAATATTACAAAACGGTACCAGGCTCTGATACTAACCATGACTTCACTGGTAGGAGGGAAAGGATGATAATCGTTGTTGTAATATGTAACTTGACATTTCGGTATAGAGCAGATTAGTGCACGAAAAAAGACAGAGTAGACCAACAGATTTATACATTTATTTACTTTGATTTGATTTGATTCTATGTATGAATCGCTACCCATAAAATCTCGAAGCAATTTCACAGGGGTTTTTTTAATAAAAAACCCAATAAAAACATTTAAAAATAATCCCAATGTAAAAAAACCCCAACCAGTTAAAACAGTTCCATGTGTAATAACAGTTCCGTACATACAAACAATTACAAACAAATCCATATGTAAAACCCGTTTCATATCCAACACAGCTATAGACCGGATACAGCACAGATCTCCACCTCAAAATAAACACATAAATAACGTATATGTCCTGAAGTTTGGGTCTAGGAAGTGCAAAACCAGCTGCAGCTGCAACACCCAGCGTGTTTCTTTACATTGCTGGGCTATTATTATTTTTAATGTATTATTATTTTTGAAGGGATATTTTTTTGTCAGCTGCAGGGGGCCTTCCAGGACCTGTGGCCACAACAATGCCAAGTGCTGGTGCCAATCTGGATGTTCTAAAAATCCAGAGAGCACAAATGCTCCCTTAAAGAGCATCGCCTTTTCTTTAGCAAAATCACACTTATTCCAAAAGGCAGTTGCAGAGGTTTAAGAAATCTGTTTCTGATGAGGATTAATGTGATAAAGTTCTGCCAGGGTGTGTATGTGTGTGCATATACAGTCTTTATCTAAATAGAGATTTCCAGGTCTGCCTTATCACAGGCCCAGGCTCGCTAATATTTCCCTCTGATCTTTTTACCCTTTCTACCTTTCATTTGGATCCAAGCTGTCTCAACTGCGCTTGCCAAAAACCCCATGTCATTTCCTCTCTTAAATGCAAAACCCCCTTACCGTCTGCCTCCTGTTGTCATATTGTTTCCTCAGGGTTGGTTTTTTTTTTTAAAAGGAATATTTAATGGTAGATTTCCCACTATCACATCAAGGCATCTAAATAAAGTGGCTTGCTCTTTTCAAAAGCTCCAAATCTGTGGTTCTAGTTTAGGTGGAACGAACTGATCGGCAAATCAACGTAACCGAGGTCACATTTCGGTCAAGACCAAAACCCAGACTGTATGTTTTCTCCCGTCTTTTGAAATAGTCAGAATGTCTGTCCTGAAAGAACCACCGCTTGACTATATACAGCGATGCTTTCCTGCCAGGAAGCTAACATAATTTGCATTACGCTCAGGAATATGACATTTTGTCAACAGGAGGTAAAGATTGGAATCCTTGATATATTGTCACATCCCGGGATCAATTCTCACCTCTCCTTCACCTTCACCTTCTCCTTCGTACTTGGACGTTCATACCTGAATACAGCCCCAGCTGGTGCCCATTGGGACTGATAGGATGGAAGGCAAGGAGGCGACCAGTAGGTGGCGCCACAGCCAATGGCAGACAGAGCCACCCCCTGACTGGTGGTACATAATAGAGCAGGCAGGCAGAGGTTGGTGGGGCAGTGCCCCATTCACCTTAATGGACCAGCTTCCATTGCCTCATTATAAAATGCACAGGTAGACTGACAAATGCTGAGGACATTGCTGAGTAGAATTAGGTATTCTACACAGCAATAAAATCCTTTAGGAATGTAGCCATACTGTTGCGGCTAGAATCTTCTCCTTTTTTAAAATAAGAGGAAGGGAGGAAAAGAAAAACACCCTCAGCCACCTGGTCTTTAAGGCAGGAATGGTGTTGTTGGGTGGCCATCTGTCATGGATGCTTTAACTGAGATCCCTGCATTGCAGGGGGTTGGACTAGATGACCCTCGGGGTCCCCCCAATGCTACAATTCTACGATTATTTGATTCTATGGAGCTAGGCTACACCTCTCATCAGCTTCAGCCAGCATGGCCAATGACCAAGAATGATGGGAGTTATAGTCCAGCAGATTCCGGAGGGCACCATTAAACCATGGAATTCACTCCCTCCAAGAAATAGGGAGAGATTTCAAAAGAGGATTGGATGAATTCACAGCTATAGCTGAAGCCACTCTTTTAATTTGAAAAGGGGTGGAGAAGGCCTGGGTAAGCCCCTTGGTGTTCTGAATGATGCAATTCAGCCGAAGGTCATTTTGTCGTAACAAATTAAATGGAGAGTTTTGTGCCCTTGCCCACATTGCACAACGGCCATATAAAGTTCATTAGAGACAGGAACATTTGGCAACTGCAAGTCACAAGAGAGTATGGGTACTCTGATGAAAGCTGGTAGCCAAGCTACTGTGCATTTCTTGCCCTCAGAGGGTGATTTTGCATGCTTTGCAAGTGAAAATATGCAGAAACTGCCAGTGTAAATACAGGTCTCTTGTAGAGCAAGAAAACTCCTATTTAGAACACCATCATTTATTGCTTTGTTGTTGTTGTTTACTCGTTTAGTCGTGTCCGACTCTTCGTGACCCCATGGACCAGAGCACACCAGGCACTCCTGTCTTCCACTGCCTCCTGTAGTTTGGTCAAACTCATGCCAGTAGCTTCAAGAACACTATCCAACCATCTCGTCCTCTGTTGTCCTCTTCTCCTTGTTTATTGCTTTAGTGATCACTTAGGTACATAGGAACCTGTCTTGTAATGAGCTAGGGACCACCTAGTCCAGCATTGTCTACCTCAGCATGATGCCCTCCAGATGCTGTTTGACTATCCCTAATCATTGGCCATGCTTGCTTGGTCTCTTGGAAGTGGGAATTCAACAACATCTGGAGGATATCCATGGTGTTCACTGACTAGAAGCAGCTCTCTAGGGTGTCAGGCAAGAATCTTCCCCAGTCCCACCTGCAAATTTCAACTGGAGGTGAAAATATCAGCTCGGCTAGAATGTATACTGCAGATCCAAAAAGATACCACAACAAGGGCAAAGGAGATGCCAGCGGGGTTCGTGAGCAGAGTCAAGGAAGCTATTAAAGGCAAGAGGATCCCTTTTTAAAAATGCAAGTTTTGCCCAGATAAAGAGAACAAAAAAAGAACACAAAATGAAAGTGAACAATAAGAGATGAAAAAAGAATTGAGGAGTACATCAATGAAAACTTTAAGATACTTTAGAATTTGCTAGTTGCTTCAGAAAGTGCTAATTAGGTATGTGAAATATACTCGGAGTCGAGTGTGGATTTCATGCTCTTTATTCAGCTCATAGTAGTGAGGAATGGAATTTCCCCCGAAATGTCTGCTTTATATACATTATTTACACAATGGGCCCCACATGATTGGCTATTTCTGGGATTCTCCTGTAGGCCAATCAGGTTGCGGATTCACTTCCACCTGGAGTTGGATTGGGTGGCTCCTGTGGACCAATCAGACTGCTGCATTCTGGATCCTATTGTTCTAGGACCAATCAGACTGCTGCATTTTGGACCCGATTGTTCTAGGACCAATCAGACTGCTGCATTTTGGATCCTGTTCAACTCAATACAAAGGTATATTTGTCTTTGAATGTAACCTGAATTAAATTCCTTCCCCATCCCTATGAAACTTACGTAATTCTTTGGTGCTAGTGGGGAGAGGAAAAAGTTGCGTGGGATAGATTCTTTGTGTCGTGTGTTTATCAGCGCACACAAGCACACATCTTTGTTGGTAAAACACAACACACAAAAGAATTTTGATGCAAACGTATGTACACAATGACATCAAGACTGCTTTTTTGGGGGTACTGATTTAGCACTGTAGTTGGGCACTTTGTTGATGTGGACTGGGGGGAGACACAAAAATGCTGAAGAAACTGAAAGCTGCAGCAAACCGCACAGGTGCGGTTCCCTTACAAAATTAACATAGACGTCCATGTTGTTTCTGGTTGATGAAATTTCTCCTGGTTGGTTGGCTCCTGCCACTTCATGGCAAGAACAGCAGAAGATGACCAAACACCGCACCATATTGTACACAGGCCCAACAGCAATAGGTACCATTTCTTCATATCTGCTCTGCTGTTTCCATTAAACTTTTGAATGGGGAATGAGTGGCATTCGCAATTTGCTTCTCCACATCTGGACACAAAGGATTTCAATCAACATGCTATGGTTTGGAGAGCAGTTGCCTTCCAAGAATAATCCCAGAGGACTCATTTTTGATGATAAATATTTCACAACTTCCACAAGTGGAAGCCAGTGCAAAGCAGGATGGAAATTGGTGCTGCACCGAGCCAACATCTTTGGCAAGACAACAACTGATGTACAAATGAAGGCCTCTCTTTGTTTTCCTTGTCTTCTGTCTTAGTCCTCCTCTGTGTTGAACCTATAGAGATGCACAGGCAAGCTGGGACGAGATGAAAACCCAAAAATGTATCTTCTCCCGGTTATAAAGCTACCAAGCCACAAAGGATGTTTATATGAATTGGTTGAATAATAACGCATTCCAACTGCAAAGAAGGTCACAATCCAAGAGAGGATAACAGTAAAATAAACTTTGTACTAAATAGTAATTCCTGATTATTTTCTTAGTGGAAAATTCTTGTTTCACTTCATTGCTTTGAAAGCTCTTCTGCTTTCATTCGAACCCTGAGCCTTTGGTAAGCTTGTGTGCCCCCACCCCCCAAATAACTTTCTTTTCCTGAATCCCACTCTTTAAACAATATTTTTGGCTGAGTCATCACATTTGCTGCCAAATAACCATCAGGAGACTTGGTGCCCCTTGAGAATAAACGAGGGAAACCACTTTTCCTGTTATGGAGAGGGGCACAACATATCAGAGACAGCAACTGCTGTGGTA